AACGTAGCCGTATTCTTCACCAAAATATCACAGCCATGGTTTCTAGGCCATATACTAATACTCTTCTCCTTTGAAACCTGTTGAGCCTGGCTCCCACAGTTCAAATCCCCTCTGCTCCATCTTCCATACTCCTACTAGTGTGGCTGTTAAGTCCCACTTTAAGTGTTCAACTACTTTCCTAATCTCAACTTCCAAAGCCCACGTTCCACCAACAGGAAATTTGCTCGGGGGCTGGAGACACATGGCTTGGTGGTTTTAAGAGCACTTGCTGCTCTTCCAGAGGACCCGGGTTCAATCCCCAGCACCCACATGACAGCTCACACCTGTCTGTAACTCCATCTTCATGGGATCTGATACCCTCTCACCAATGCACATAAAAAATAAAATTAAATAAATCATTTTTTTTTTTTTTTTAAGAAAGAAATTTGCTCAGGCCTATCACAGCAAAACCTTAGTTCCTGGTACCAGCTTCTATCTTATTTCCCATCCCTAGTGACACACTTCCTCCAACAAAGCCACACCTCCTAATGCCACTCCTTAAACATCCCAATAGGAGTCCTTGGGAGCCATTCTTATTCAAACCACCACACCTTGGAACTAGAGGATTATGAGCAAGGATGAGCTGCTACACAGGTCACTGCAGAAACATCTGTTTTGAGGCGCTGCTGGGTAGAGTCTCTCAGAGGACAACTCTGACAGACTCTGTGTCTGCAAGCTTAGCAGAGCACTGTTCATAGTGTCAGGGGTTGGCACTCTCTGATAGGATGGGTCTTTGGTTGGGCCCGGCATTGGCTGGACATTATCTCAATCTCTGCTCTGTCTTTATCTCTGCACATCTTGTAGGCAGAGTAACTTTGGGGCTGAAGTTTTTGAGGGTGGGTTCCACTGAGCTTGTGGAAGGAAGATGAGGTGGCTCCCTGGTCAGCTCCTGGGCTCACATTGCTGGTCAGCAGCACTGAATCACTCTCTTGGGAACTCTGCAGAAAATGCCTCTTTCACTGTGAACTTTTAGACTTCCTGTTATTTTTCTGCATTTTCTTTTTCTTTTGACATTCTTCTCCCAGTTATGAATGGCCACAACCAAAAAATACCTTTGTGTTATGTTTGTTTTTTTTTAATAGTTCACCTCATTCTTGGAGGTGAAATGCTGCACGTGTGGAAATAAACATTTGTTTTTTCTTTTTCCTTCTGCGACCCATTCATTCTCCTTCACAGTGCTTTGTTCAGATAATTAAACATTGCTTGGGAATGTACATGATATCAACAAGCTTTAATTATACTGGAAGAATGCAAGAGAATTGAAAGAAAGTTATCCAATCCTATCAGCAGCCTCTGGCATACATGCTCTAAGCCAGGGCCCCTAAGGGACAAAGATACTCTGATATTGGTCTATACTGAAAAGTGTGTAGCTTATATAGACTCAGATTGTTTAGGGCATCTCAGCATGTTTCTACGTCTTTACAGTGGTCAGTGTATGTTATATATATTAAGTAGCTCAGTCCTTTACCTAGTATGATCACTTAGGTGACTAATCCCACCATAGACACTGTTGGCTATTGTGACAACACCTTCAGTGGCTATCAAAAACCAAACAGGATTGGCAGCTCAGTCTCCATGTGGATCTCTAAGTGAGGGAAGCAGGGGCTGCCTCTATCATGAACTCAGTTGACTGCTCTCTGATCACTCACCCCTGGCGATTCAGCCTTCCCAGGCCAAGGAGGAAGAGGATCCAGGCAGTCCTGATGAGACTTAACAAGCCATGGGCAGATTGCAATAGTGGAGAACTCGCCCTTTCAGTGGACCAGGGGAAGGGGACGAGGGGAAGAGGGAGGCAAGGTGGGACTAGAGGAGTTGAGGGAGGGGGCTTCAGTGAGAGTATATAATGAATAAATTGTGAAGAAAAAAATTAAATTTAAATTTAAAGGAATAAACAAAAGGAAAAATAAAAAGTAAAGACCATAATGGCACCTGACTCATGTGGCTACTGATGGATAACTAATAAAAACAAACAAACAAGCAAACAAACAAACAAACAAACAAACAGGAGGGCTAGAGGGATGGCTCAGAGGTTAAGAGTACTGGCTGCTCTTTCAAAGGTCCTAAGTTCAATTCCCAGCGACAGCATGGCAACTCTTAACCATCCAAAACAAGATCTGGTGCCCTCTTCTGGCATGCAGGCATACATGCAGGCAGAATACTGTATAAATAACAGATAAATAAATCTTTAAAAAAAATTATCTGGAAGATGCTAAACCAAAAGTGGAGTCCACTGACATGTTAGAGAGGACACAGGATGACCCAAGGTGACCCATGGGGACAGAACAACCCTGAACATTGACAGCAAAGAGTTTGCAACCAACTCTGTCCAAAGAAAGAACACAAGAAAGGAAGAAGAGAAGCGAGAGAGAGTCAAGGGCCCAAAAGGAAGGTAAACTGGGATGCCAGTCAGCTGGCATGGCCCAGCCAGCCTTGGGAACCTCTCTTTCCTTCATGCAAACCATGAAGGAAATACACACCCACCCCATCACACAATGAGAAGGGTGTACACTTTTTTTTTAAGAAACTTCAAATTCATTTTTTTGTCATTTCTCTCATCTCCCTACTGTCCTTCTACCCTAGCCTACCACTAATCTACTTTTCTCTCCATATATTTGTTTAATGTGGACATTGATACAGGTTGAGTCAAATGATATATAGTCTTTTGTGACTGGTATCTTTCACTTCTCACAATTCTAAACCATCTTTTAAGTCAGCTGTTTTCTCAGCTATGTCAACTATATTTCTAGTTTCTCAGATTGCTATCAGTCCTGTTTTCAGTTTTCCTGAGTTTTTGATGGTCTCATTATTTCTGTGACTCTGTTTTTAAATATTTCACTATAGTTCTAGTTAGACTTGGTTGGTTGGTTTGGTTTGGTTTGGTTTTTTGTTTTGAAGACAGGGTTTCTCTGTGTAGCCTTGGCTGTTCTGAAATTCAATGTACAGACCAGGCTGGCTTCGAACTCAGAAATACGCTTGCCTCTGCCTCCCAAGGGCTGGGATTAAAAGCTTGAGCCACCACTGGCTATGGTTTTATGTTTTAAACCTGCTTTTACTGATTTTTTTTTTTTTCACATGGCAGTTTGTTTTCTTGTGTATCTGGTGATTCTAGGCTGGGAATCGATACTTAGTTCATTTTTGTAAGAAGTTTGAGTTTTATTTGAATTTTATTAGTTTTTGTTTTGGTTTGTGACAGGGTCTCTCTATGTAGTCCTGACTGTTATGGAGGTCACTGTGTAAACCAGGCTAGTCTTGAACTCACAGTGATCTGACTGCCTCTGCCTTTCGAGTGCTAGAATTAAAGGAGTGTGGTCCCAAGAACTTTTGATCCAGGACCCTTTACAATGGTCTAGCTTAAAGGGTCATCTCTAGTTCCTTGCTGCTTCCTTTTTTTTTTTTTTTTTTTTTTTTTTTTTGAGATATGGTCTCATATAAGCTAAGCTGGCCTCATACTCACTGTATACCTGAGGATAACCTTGAACTTCTGACCCTACTGCTTCTACTCCCCTAGCACTGGGAATATAGATATATAGGTATAGGCCGCCGTGCCTGATCTTATGTGTGCTGGGATGGTACCCGGGCCTGCAGGCATGCTAGGCAAGCATCCTACCAACTAGGCCACATCTCTAGTTCTGAACACAGACATTGCCCTTACCTGCTTTTCTTGTGTGTGCGTGTGTGCATGTGTGTGCGTGTGTGCATGTGTGTGCGTTTACTCCTCAGAGCTAATCATGGCTTTCTGCATGTCTGACTATATACAGAAGCTTGGCCCTCAGCATATCCAGTTTGCCACCCTCCTGCCACCTCCTGGAAGCCCCAGCCTGCTCTTTCTGATTTGGTTCACTAACCTTAATAAGCCTCCTCCCAAGTAATCCTCTCCATTCACCCACTGCTGTGCTGATCTGCCACTCTCATCCTATGTGCCTGCGGCTACAGACCTGACTTACAGAAAAGCTCCATCACCATGCCCAGCCTGTCTGTGGGACTTTACATGACTTCCTTAACCATCAGTATGTCTGCACATATACAAACCAGATGTATTAAAAAAGGGGTAACTGAGGCATATATACACAAAACTTGGGTAGCTTGTCTGCATCCCACTACTTACAACTGTGGGACCTCAGAGGCGAACCAGAAGCTGTCTAGCTCTTTTCCATTTCCCATGGTTGCAGAAAGAAACAGAATGGTCTGGGACTGCTGGGGTCTTGGCAGGAGTCTCGCTGATCAGACACTGGCTCCAGAAAGCCAGGAGCTCATGAAAGCCCTGTAATGGCCTGTTACCTTGTGTGCCACAGCAAGGGGTGGTGGTAAGCCCAAGCTTCTCAGAGCTTTTTCATGATTGGAAAAACAAAAGCCCAAATGCTAACTCAAGGGTCATGAGCCTCCTGCTTGCCTTCGCATTGACAGACCACAAAATCAATGCCGTGGCTACCTTGAGTGCATGACACTAGTAGCTTTGCTGCTGTTTTCAGCTTGGCTGAGAAACCCTGAGAACAGAGTCCAGTCCCCACATTTGGCTTGATCCAACAGAGGTGTGAAACTGAAAGCCAAGTGGGCACAAGCAGCTGTCAATATCCAGAGCCTCTAAGTGACACCCACATGAGGACTGATGGCAGACAATTGGCCCAGGGAGGCCTGTAGTCAGGGACACTGTTAGTATTATGGCAGCCTGCTTCTGGGTTGCCTAGCAACCTGTGATGTCATCATGTATCGCAGGCCAGGTGGCTACACCTGGCAGGCGGGGTTATGTTGCTACTTAAAAGGATCAATCCACTACTTTGTCTCGTTCTTGCCCTCTTGGCTCTTGCCCTCTCCTCTTTCTCTGTTGGGGTGTCCCCCAGTTTTCTTCCCCCTATTATGTCTCCCTCTCCCCTTCTTCCTCTCTCTCCATCTCATCTAATAAACCTCTTTCATATAAAATCTGCTGTGCGCTTCATCATTATTTAATTTGGTCCTAATATTGGTGCATTGGCCGGGAATCGAACCCAGGCCTCCCGCCTGGCAGGCAAGAATTCTACCACTGAACCATCCAATGCCTGAAAATCTTTTTTTTTTTTTTTACTTTCTCTCAACTGCCTTTACCCCCAGCACATCTGTCCCGCTGCCCGGGACAGCTGCCTGAAGTGGCTGCTCGTATGACAAGCCCTGGGGAGTCCTGGGGAGCCTCAGGGAGCTCTGGGACTTATGAGGCACCAAAATTGGCTTCAGACAGACACAGCCTGCTAGGTAAGCAATTACTGGGGACCCTATGCACACATAGATTGCTTTAAATTGCCTCAGGTCCCATGGGCGAGATTTTAAATTTCCCTTGGAATGCCTGCTGCTAGAGGCTGGCTTGTAGACAAGGGTTTTCAGTTACGCAGACTTCCATCCCATGTGCACGCAGCCATGCCACACTCACACAGAGAGTTTTAAACTGAGTTGGGACAGTCATCCCATGAGCAAGCACCTGGTCTTGCTGTGCTGCTACAGTCCTGTGCACACATAGCTGTGAGGCGCCATGTTGATTTTAAAATAAAGAAGCCGCACAATGTGCTTGCCCCCCACTCCTGCATACCTCCAAGCCATGCGTTCAAACACTGGCTCTCAATATTTCTGACCTAAGTTGCTATGTCCAAGCTTTTAAAAATCTTTTCTTCCTCGTTTCTGTATACTCTGCTCTTAAAATATACATATTTTAAAATGCTTTAAATGGGTATCTACTGATTTATGTAATTTTCTCATTGGTTTACATTTATAAGACTTCCTTAATCATAATTAATTCTCTGTTTATCTCCTTTCAGACTAAGACAGCAACAAGCCTCATTTTAAACTGGTATGGATTTTTTAAAAAAATAAGTTAAAAGGCTTAATATTTCCTCCTGTTGCTATGCTACTGTTGTATTGACTGTCCAGAGCTTTGACCTTTATCAATAGAGCTCTGATGTATTAATCTAACTCTAATACAAAAACATTCCACTATACCACCCAGTATCATGGTTCTAAGCTCAAGATTTTAAATCTCCATAATGTGTACTCATACTAAAGGTTAAGAGCAAGTGAACTTCCACTTCTACTTCATGAAAGGCTTCTGCCTTTTCAGAGCTCACCTTAAAGAATGCTTATGCTGTTAAGACAAATGTGTAGGCCTACTGCTTTTTCTATAATGTATATTTCAGTGCAGATTACAATTGTGATGCTAACATGTCTAAAGTTTTATCTCCTTCATAAAACTTAAAAGTAATTCTTGTAAGCTGCAGAAAATCCACCTAAATCCACCTGTCAGGTCAACTGGGTTCCAGATAAGTACTGCATTTACTGCCTATCTCAGAGGGTTGGATTCCTCCCCTTTCCCTAGTTTTGGGACTTCCCTTTCCTGGCTACTTGATTGCTACCTTCTACGGGCAACAATGGCTGGATTGGTGAATTCCTTTCATTGGCCAGCCACTGGATTGCTGAGTTCACCTCATTGATCAGCATCTAATAAACCTCTTTCATATAAAATCTGCTGTGCACTTCATTATTTAATTTGCTCCTAACAGACACCAGCCCTCCTTGTGGACAGTGGGCGGTCAGAGGATGAGCCTTCTCCCTGTCAGCCACATCCTTAAAAGCAAGTCAGCTGTTGACAGTAATGACCATTGATTGTGCGCTTGCCCATGCCCCATGCCATGCTCACACAGAGCAGCACATTCAAAGCTGTAGACAGCTGCCTTCGAACTGAGTCTTTAGTGAAGTCCAGGCCATCAGTGTTAGCATTCCTTATGCATGAGTGAGGCCACAAGCTGATAAAAATGACCTTCCCCAGGCCCTACAATCCAAAGGAAAAGAAGACAAGAATCTAGCTCAAGATTCAGCAAAGCCTGCATCGGAGCTTCTTTATCCCACCTAGGAGTGTCCCTTGGCCACTTTTCTTACTGCACAAATGGCAGAAGTACCTGACCAGGCAAATCACACCACCCAAGGACCAAAGACGAGCCTTTCTTCCAGGGGTATCCGGCTTGTTTTCCCTCTGAGGTGACCCGGGTTACTAGGATTCCCATATACTGGGGTTTCCTCACTGCCACAGTAGGAACCAGGTTGACTTGGGGCGAGGTTTACCTTCACTGCTTCCCAGCTGGAATTTACCAGGTGCTGCCGGAAGGGCCCAAAACCTAAAACCAAAGGTACCCAAGTTTATTCAAATCAGTGTGGTAGCAAGTTCTGCCACATGGTAACAAGTCCCATAAGCCCCAGAGACCAGCAACCTTGCTATTCTGGGGGGGCTTCCTCAGAATCCTCTGTGTGAAACCCAGTGGGGGAGGCCCCCTCAAAAAAGGGGAGTGTAGAGAGCTAGAGGGCTGGGTCAGAGGTTGAGAGTATTTCCTGTTGGCCTTGGTCTGCTCTTGCTGTGATAAACACTGCCCAAAACCAACCTGGGGAGGATAGGGTTGATTTGGTTTATAGGTTACTGTCCATCAGCAAGGAAAGCCAAGGAAGCACGAATCCAAAAGAGGAACCTGGAGGCAGGGGCACAGATGGATGCCACTCACTGGCCTGCTTACATAATCCACTTGCCCAGGGATGGCACTACCAAGAGTGAGCCAGGCCCTCCTTGGTCAATTAGCAATATTTTAAAAATGCCCCCACAGGCGTGTACACAGGTGAATCTAATGGAGGCCATTAAGTTGAGGTTCCCTCTTTTCGGGTGTATCAAGTTGACACCAAAGTTAAGTCACCATGCTGCTCTTCCAGAGGATTTGAGCTCAGTTCCCGGCATCCAGGTTCTGAGACTCACAACTCTCTGTAACTGCAGTTCCAGGGGACCGGTTGTCCTCTTCTGATCTCTGCAGGCACCCAAACATTCATGGCTCAGGCACCTGCACTCACACACAGGCAAGCGTAAACACAAAGTAACAAAGAAGTAGTTGAAAGGGGTCTCACCCACTTCCACAGTCAAAGGCTAGGAACAAGTACACACAAGGGTTGCACTGAACCTGCCTGTATTAGTTGCTTTTCTCATAGCTGTTACCCAACGTAAGGGAGGGGCGATTTATTGACTCATGGTTCAGAGGGCCAAGTCCACCATGGTGGGAAAACAGTGTTCGGCTGTGACAACACAAGTGTGAGCCTGAGGCTTGTTCACGAGTATCGGCAGTCAGGAGCCTGAGAGCTTCTCTTGAACCAAAGCGAAGCTGCGAGTCCCAAGGCTTATTTCCCCACCAGCTACTTCCCGAAGGTAGACTCCACGCCTTAAAGGCTCCACAGCGTCTCCCAAAGCACATCCTCAGCTAGCAGCCAGATGCCCAAGCACATGAACCGGTATCACATTCAAACAGAAATTCAAGCTTTGGGGAGAAGCAGAGACAGACCTGTGCGACCATCCCCATCTGCTTGTTGACAAAGGCACAAAAGCAATCCCATGGATGAGGACTGTGTTTTTCCAAAAATGGTTCTGGAGCGATGGGACACTGTGATGGCTGCCGTTAACTGATAACAGAATCCAAAATCACCTGGGAGCCAGGGCCCTGGATATGCTGGAAAGTATGTCTTGATTGTGTTCATTTGAAGTGGGAACGTTTGCCCACTGTGGGTGGCGTCATTTCCTGGCTGAGTGGCAGCTGGCATCCACTGCTCTCTGCTTGCTGGTTATAGACAGGATCCTGCCACAACAGGCTCTTATCTACCATTTGAACTGTGCGCCAGAACAAAGCCTTTATCCAAGTTGCTTTCGTCAGAGTGTTTTCTCACAGCCATAGAAAAGTAATTCAGACAGAAACCAAGAGGCAAAACCCCAGTCTCTTAATGTCCTACAGCTTAGGCATCAGGAAGTTCTAAATGGAGAGCAAAACCTTAGATGTAAAAAGCAAAACTGAAACTTTTAGAGAGAGAGGAAAAAAAAGGTGATGATGGGGAATCTCAGGAGCCTTGATCCAAAAAAGAAAAAACTGACAAACTGGATTCCACAATAATCACAAACGTTGAGGCTGCGGTGGGGATGGCTCATGGGATTATAGGGGCATAATGTACCCACAGCCCCAAGCACCAAAAAAAAAAAAAAAAAAGGAAAGCATAGGCTTAGTAGTTAAAGTGCTCACCCAGCATGCACAAAGCACAGGGTTCAAGACCCAGCACCAAAACAGCCATGAAAGCATTCAGTGAAGGGTTGTTTACACTGGGTTGGCTTGTGGCCACGTCTGCTGGGGACTGTCTTGTTAACTGATGTGGGGAGACCCAGATTACTGTGGGCAGCACCATTCCCTAGGCATCGGGTCTTGAGCCGTACAAGAGTGGGGAAATCAAGCTGAGGCCAGGAGAGCTCGAGTGTGTGTGTGTGTGTGTGTGTGTGTGTGTGTGTGTGTGTTTCCCTCTGCTCTTGACCATGAATGTGATGTGACCAGTGCTCTGAAGTTGCTGTACTGACCTTCCCACGTGATCGAATGGAACCCGGGACTGTAAGTTGAAATAAACTCCTTTATCCTCTAAGTCCCTTTGTTTGTTTGGGTTTGTTGTTGTCTTTGTTTCCTTGTTTTCACTGGATAGTTTATCATAGCCAAATGAATCTGGAACACACACCCAAGTGTTAGAACGGGAGAACAAAGTGTGGAAGAAGCTATAAAGGAATAGCATGAGGTGATTTTGAGGTGATGGCCACGTTATAGATCTTAACTACAGAGGTAATTCCAGGAAGCTACACATGGCTTGAAATTATACAGGGCTGTCTGTGAGCCCATTTTCATTCCTCAACCCCTCTCTCCCTTTCTCCTTCTCCCCTTTTCTTTCTTTCTTTCTTTCTTTCTTTCTTTCTTTCTTTCTTTCTTT